ATAGTGCAACCTCTTTAGTTTATGAGGACATTAGTATACATTGGAGATGAATTTAATGGTAAATTTGTATATTGGACAGACTCCTGTGTTCTAGTAGGAATTTTCTCTCAAATTTGAACTGATCTCTGAAGTTTTATGATAGGGCTCCTTGCAGATGTGATAGTTGGATCATCGGATGAGAAATTTAGAGTTGCTTAGAATGTGGATGTGGCTATTGTTTATTTCATGATGATATTGTTGTTTTCTTTTTATGGGCATGGTTGAATAAAATAGTATTCCAACCCATTATATTGAGGTTGTTTTTCTCCCCCACTAATTGTGTGCATGTTTAGTTCTTCCAAGTAGATATTTAATCCATTTCCAAGCATTTAGATGTATTTCGTCATGAGTCATGACTCATTATTTTGATGTTTTGTAGTCATCATGTCTTTAACTAGATTTCTCATACACTGATACACAAGTGATTTTCTTCTGATAAAATGTGACTAGAGATTCTAACCAATTTGACCGTTAGATGTTAAATTCTGATCTTAACAATACAAGCTGAGCAGAGTCTTTGTTTTCAATTTCAGACAAAAGCTCTCATTTCAAAGTTGACGGAGGAGAAAAATTCTGCCATACAGCTTAATAACAAGCTACAGCAAGAATTGGTAAGGGTTTTATTGATAAATCTCTCTTGCTGGCTTCTTTCTTTCGTTGACTAAATCTACTTTGGACCATAATAAATAAATTAATAATAAAAGAAATACTATTATCTACTATGTCTGAAAAGTTCACATTTTGGAGTTTGTTACTGCATATAAATATTGCTCTAGAGAGCTTATTCAAGGTACCTCGTAATACCTGAAATTGAAGTTAATAACTTTGTAAATGGATTTGGACAACTCCCCACAAGTGTGACACTAGGAAAAACCAAGTGACATCTACAAGATATGGTTCTTATTTTAGTAATTTTAATAGAGTAGAGATATTAAGGAAAGGTTAGGTGGTGCTTTGTGTGGTGTATATTTTCTGTGAAAATGAACTTGAACAATGACAAATGATCTCTCCTAATTTATTTGATTCATCCAAATAATATGCTTTTTACATTGGTACCCATTTTCCTTTTCCTAGTACTTGTGTTTGCTACATGTTTGGTTTGTGAAATGAAAATGGAGAGAATGGGAATAGGTTTCCATATGTAATGGAAAAGGGAAGGAATATAAAAAGAATGCTATTCTATAATGTGGTTTGTAGAAAAGAACACATGAAGAGTAACATACCCTCAAATTCCTAAAATATTAAGATTCTAAAAATTAAATAAGAGTTAATTCCATTTTTGGTCCTAGATTTATTTGTGACAGTTTACTTTTAGTCCTTTTTCAGAACATCCCGCTTTGGTCTTAGTATTATTGTGACATGACCATTTTTGGTCCTTTGCCAACAAAATCGTTGAAATGTTGTTAAATATAAATGACATTTCGATCTTTTTTGTACAAAGTGGGTTGAACCGCGATATTTTTATTTGTACTTTTTTGAAAAAAATTTGTAATTGAAGGCCTAAATGCCCTTATATTATATGAAATTTAAACTATTTTGTTGATGGAGGACCGAAAATGGTCATGCCACAATAATACTAGGACTAAAGGGGGATCTTTTGAAAAGAAAATGACTAAAATTGGATTGCTACCTATAGATCTAAGACTAAAAATGGAATTAACTCATTAAATAAAATAAAACTTTTTTAAAGAATAGAAAGAGAGGAGAGATCTGGGTGTTCTTGGTCGAGGACAATAGTAAACCTGAGGACAATAGTAAACCTGCCATTGTCCTCGGCCACATTAGCTGTCGTTCTCCGGCCGAGAATTATGGCTAATGGTGATGAGACATTGTGTAGAGGTTAGATGATGATGAGTTTGGTCATAAAGGCTGGAGGTGGGCATTTTTGTCTAAAAAATGGGTCAATTCCTGGCCAATAAAGAAATGCAATTACTGGCGGGGGAAGGAAGGGGCTCTGAAATCTCAAGTCCCTTTGCAAAAGAAATTGAGTTTCCTTGGAATCCCGTTCATACTGTGTTTGTGTGAACCAAATATGCCATTAGAGTACCATGATAACTTGCTCAGCTTAACATAAACAGTCAAATAAACTAGGGGTGTGTTTGGTTCGCACATGGGAATCGGAATTGGAATGGGTATCAAATACTTGGTAATGGTAATGGGTTTTGGTGAAAGTATTTTGCATGTTTGGTAGTAGGGTGGAATGGGAATGATTAGGCTAAGGATGAATAATGTGATGAAACCCTTATAAAATAAGGGAATGGGTTTTTCACTTTTTCCATTAATGGGGTATTCCAAACCCATAGTAGTGTTTTAAAAACCAGTCAACCAAACAATAACAATCACTTTCATACCCACACATGAGTGCTAAACCTGCCAACCAAACACACCCTAGGTCTTATATTAACCTATATATTCCTTCAACAGAAATGCTGATGTTACTAACCCATCTACTTCATCTTCCTAACTTAAGGAGGGAGATAGTTGTTATTGGGGTTTGGGGCTTATAGCTTGGTTGTAAGTCGTGTCTTTTTTTTTTTTTTTTTTTTTTTTTTTTTTTTTTTTTTTTTTTTTTTCCGGTTAAAGACCCAGGAGTTGCATCAAACCATACTAAACCAGCGAAATTAGTCTCCGTCTGCTCTTCTTTTTTACTTTTTCGCTAACCCTCCGCCTCTACCCTATGTTAGAAACTGTTAATAATAGTGACAAGATGCTTAGCAGCTTAGTGATATACCGTTCAATGCCTCTCGAAGTCAATAGATTCCGTAACTTATATGAGCCCACTCTGCAACGTCAGATCTAACACAACACAGTGACACCCACCTTGGCACTTTGAGATGTGTTTTCGTAGCATGTTCTAACATTTTGTCCTTGGTGGTCTTTGTTCCGTGTAGGAGCTGTTGAGACGCGAACACAAGAGAGGGCACGGTGGCATTCCACTTATGTATGTTGTTATTATTGGCTTCATCGGCATTCTTCTTGGCTACATTTTGAAGAAGACATAACAAGCCATGCTTGGTTTGCATTCCTGCTGTAATGTCAGCCCTCCCCAGATGTCTGAAAATTTTAGAAGTATCAAGAGAAAAAAGTTGTGACTGGTCGAGGAAACCTTTGTATCAAATAGCTGTCTGGTCGGACTTGAAACAAAGCCGTTTGATGAGTTCTGTAATTGCCGGGAGTTTTGGGCTTGAAAGGACTCCTACAACCGCCCAAACCATCTATTGTATTTGTAGTTTCCGACTTAGCTTGCTTCGTTTTCCATTTCTTTTGATAAGCATGACTTTCTTTTTATAAATTCTTTTTGTTCTAATTATTGCTACAATGATCGCTATGTCATCTCTATACATAGCGATTAGGTGAAACCCGTTTTGCGGTAAGAAACTACAAGGAGATAAATTAATATATTTTGTCTATAATAAATTAGCTCAAACTATAAGGAGGTAGTTCAAATCATAAGCAGGTAAATCGGTTTGCTTAAATTAAGAAGTTCAATAGATAACTCTCAAAAAGAATTAAATTTGAAATCTTGGTTATTAATTTAATAGGGATGGGGATTTGGATGATAATTTGTAGCTTGTATGGTTTCATACTTTGATGGAAGTTGAATGTCCAACTTTGGTTAAGGGCTAATCCAAAAGAGTTCTAATACATGTACTCCCTAATTTTTTTCTCTAAATTTACATTTTGATGTGGCGGATTTTGATAAGTTATATATATATATATATATATATATATATATATATATATATATATATATATATATATATATATATATATTTTATATGAGTTCCAATACAAGTGTCTACATCAAGATTTTGTCTGTGAGAGTACAAAATGAGAGTACACATAAAATTTTTCAATCCAAAATTTTTACATTTTCGAACTCATAAAATTTTTCAATCCAAAATTTTTACATTTTCGAACTTGAGTTAATTTTATTAGATGTCTCTTGTTTTTTGTGGTAATTTTAAATTTAGTTTCAGACTATTGTTTTTTGTCATTTAATATTTTAGACTAAATTTGAGACTAGAATTATTATCAAAGACAAGAAACTTATGGTAAAATTATTTTTTTTATAATGAGATATTTGCATTTTTAGAATCTGAGAAGAAAAAAGAATCTGAATTTGAGAGTTATGATTAAGGGAATCCTCAATGGCTTAGTCTAGTTGTTACTAGGATTTGACGGGTGAATTGAATGTTGACTTGTGATTGACAAGTGGCTTTAACTACACAAGATTCTATAAGCTTAGAATTAGTTTGATAAAATTGAAATCGAATTAAAAAAAGAGTTAATACCCAAAATGATCTCTCGACTATGCCATAATTATCAATTTGGTCATCAACTACCATTCTTACCCAATTAAGTTCTCAACTATGTAACTTTTACTCAATTAAGTCTTCAACTGTACAATTCTTACCCAATTTAGTCCTCTGTATTAATTTGACTGTAAAAAATCGGGATAAAATTATAATTTTACAAGATTTCTCATTCCTCTCCATTTAGCAGCGTCAAACCATGCAATAATACACTCCGATCAGATTTCGATCGTCAAAAAATCGTTGGAAATCAAATTCATGGGTTATCCGATGCATAACCACTACTTCGATACTGACAGGTTTAGAACCCAACCGGAGCTTATTGCTACATGGTTTGGCGCTGCTAAATAAGGAGGAAGGAGAAAATTTATAAAATTACAACTTTATTTCCACTTTTGACAGTCAACAAACAGTCAAATTGACAAAAGACTAAATTGGGTAAAAATTGTATAGTTGAGGACTTAATTGGGTAAGAATAATAGTCGATGACCAAATTGATAATTATGACATAATCGAGGGACTATTTTGGGTATTAACTCTTAAAAAAAAAATCACTTCTTTCCAAAGAAAATATTGCATAGATCTCTATTTTTACTCTTTTCCACAAATTATTGATTTAGACCGTTTTTCTAAATGAAGAAAATATCCTATAGTAAAACTCTTCTCCCAACTGCTTCACATGTTCCAATTTCCAAATCATCGGAAGAAACGCCACCGTTCCTCTCTTCTTCACTCTCCTTCTCAGACTGTCATGCCGCTTTCTCTTTAATCCCAAATTACAATCAATCATGCTCTAAGCTCTAACCTTTCTTTCTAACGCCGCCGCCGCCGAATCACCTCTACCCGTAATCCAATGGCGTCCTATTTAGAATTCGGAAAATGCAAATTGATACGCTTTTCTCCCACTTCCGTCTGCACTTGCCACCTCCATGGCCGCCCCTCTTACCCCTTTCCGAAAGCTGCAGTCTTGAAACGACCCGTTTACCCGAAATTCAGCTTGAAGCTGGTTTTCGATGGCCCGAAATATGCTCTGAGGGCCTCCCGGGGGATTTTTGCAAGGCGCCAACGCCTTAGGTTGATTGCGGTGGCGGCTCGGGCCGAGGGCGACGTCCTCGGTGCTGCCGGAACCCCAGAGGTAATAGGATTTAGCTTTCGGTATCTGCTTAGTAACTCTGCGAGTTTAAGGAATGAACTTTCTGTTTCTGTTTATTTTGCTGTAAACTAACATTTACATTTTATGTATATAATTCATTGATTTCTATTTAATTTCACTTGTATTGTTTGGAGAACATAATTGGATGACCTTATCCTAGGATTAAAAGATTACACTATTATGTCAAAATTCTTATGTCAATGTGTAATTTTTTGGGGAAAATTCTCCTTTCCCTTACATAATTTTACCCCACTATTCCCTTACATAATTTGCCTTTGAGGTGGACAGTCAGTGAGTAGTAGATTTGTGTGTTTTTTAAAAATAAAAATAAAAAATACAAAAGTTTTTCTTTTCTTTTGGAATGAAAGGAGATTTTTCTGCTTTATTATGCATAATGTGGCAAGTGCCACATCAGGAGGTGACCTAATTGCTAGGGTTTCTAGCCAATCTATTTAAAAAAAAACATCTCAGGGGGGGAAAAGTTACCATCTTCTATGTTACAGTTTCTGAAATATGCAAGTGTTTAATTTTTTTTTTTTTTTTTTTTTTTTTTTTTTTTTTTTAAATCTGATAATATAAAATTATGTAGAATACAATTGTTTTCTGAATAGGCATCATGATGATATTCTTTGAATAAAAAAGTATTGACTTGTTCAAGATTTCAAGTACTCTGCAGCATCTATCATCGTGACTGCAGTGCATGGAGTTATATGCCTTGCTTTTCCTGCATTTTGAGTATCATAATGAAATCACTGAGAGGTGTGTTTTCTAGGAAGTTAACCCAGCCAGCGATTCATTGGCAAGGGAGAAATCAAGTCAATTGACAAAAAGGGTAGTCTTTGGTCTAGCTATTGGTTTTTCTGCTGGAGGTGTGGTATTGGCCGGAGGGTGGGTTTTCACACTGGCCCTGGCTGCTGCTGTTTTTGTAGGTGCCAGAGAGTACTTTGAATTGGTTAGAAGTCGTGGAATTGCTGCTGGAATGACCCCACCTCCCCGATATGTGTCACGAGTTTGCTCTGTGATCTGTGCTCTTATGCCTATTCTGACACTGTAAGAGTTATAAACCTAATTACCTTTTCATGGTTTTTAGATAAATGATTTCAGAAGCTGATGTGAAACAAATTTCTGCAATGATAGCCATACTAAAATAATTAAACATCTTGCCATCTTGGACTGCCATCAAAATCCAAATTGATTTAATTGTTAATTTTGTTTTTTGAATGCTACTGACTCTATTACATTGTAGTATCTGTTCGAACATACTCAACCTATTGAAGCACAAAGAGTCAACAACGCCTTTTTTTTTTTTTTTTTGAATGCTACTAACTCTATTACATTGTAGTATCTGTTCAAACATACTTTCTCAACCTATTGAAGCACAAAGAGTCAACAACGTCTCCACTGAGGCTCGATCTCATGACCTCCCATATGGGAGAGTCACTACATGCCATCTGAGCACAAGGTGCTTGGTAGTTGACTAGTTAATGTATTAATAATCTACTAAGGAAGTAGCGTTTAAATGTAAGTGACCACAGAACCACTAAAAACTAAGTGGTGCTTATCTGAAGAAAGTGAAAGACACTCTGCCAGGACCATGATCGGAATTTAAGAGAGCACTCCACACTTTCCTACTGTTTCCCCAATTCCCCTTGCCTTAAACGCTTGTTCCAGGTGTTACAGTTGATTTGGATTCAAATTCATTCATTTCACTTAATTAGTCAATATATTTCTACAAATATTATTACCCAATATTTACTCATAATTGATCTAAGTTCCTATAAAAAGTTTTTTTTTTTTTTTTTTTCCCTTTACTTCATTCCACTTGCTTTAATGGAAAGCAATTATTATCATATAATTGAAGTCTCTACATGGGTGAACCACATAACATTGTGACTCTATACAAAGATCTTTTTCAACATTCCTATATTGTTCTTTATTCAAACTTGAAATGTGTCTTCATTCTAATAGGTGTATAAAAATCATATTTCAAGATTCCTTTCATTTGATTGGTTTTTTGCATTTTGTCAGATACTTGGGCCAAATAGATGTTTCTGTGACATTTGCAGCCTTTGTTGTTGCCACAACACTACTTCTGCAAAGGAGAATTCCTCGTTTTTCCCAGCTTACCAGTGCCATGTTTGGGCTCTTCTATTGTGGTTATCTTCCCTGTTTCTGGGTTAAGTTGAGATGCAGTTTAGCAGTGCCAGCCCTACATACACGTAAGAATCTTCATGAGGCTGTTTAGTGTGCGAATCACATGTAACTAATTATCAGAGCCTTGTGTCTTTTAGCCTTTGGATGTTACTACTGCTTGTACTTATTTGTATGTTCTTATTTATTCTAGATGTGCTGCTTATATATGCATCTTATGTCTTGGAAAGGAATATAGGTTTGCTAGATTGAAAACTGGAAGGTGGGCAGATAATATAGGTTAGATGGCATTAATGGCAGTAAGAGGTGGTAGCAGTGGTGATGGTGGGTAAGTAGCTTGTGGTGGTAATGAGGTTCATGTGTGTTTTTGCATTTGCAAAATTGGTGAGAATTTATTTGAAGATTTGGAAAAACATATTTTAGTGTTTCTTGTCCATATTATTCTTTAATACACTTCTGTATATCATCTCCAAATGCATGGGGCATGTTAAATTGTAAGGTCAAATAAACAAGATGTTTGCATTTAAAACAAACATTTAATGTGCTAAGTTTGATATGCTTGAAACTTTCTATATTAATGGGTAATGGAATTGTCATTGGCTGTTGTTGCCTATCAACTTCTCGAGCCCAGAATAGTTATCTCATCTTGTGAAAATTGAGCAAGAGCTAGTAAGACTTCAAAATGCTAAAATGTTCATGTAATGAGATAATGTTTTGTCATGCCAATGGGGATAACCGCGTTTTCTGTAATGAGGTTTATGTGTAACATCTTATTTAGAAATTAGAACAGAATGAGGAAAATGTGAGCCCTTATTGGTGTGTATTGAACATTTTTTTAGTGTTTTTTGGGAATGCTGGAGCTGGTAAAGATTAAAGGTAATGCAACTTGCTAGACAAGGTTTGTCTATTTTGAAGAGATTTGTTATAGAATATATATTTGATATATAGAATCTCTATATATTAGGCAGTTTAGGGATTTAGGTAGGTAGGACATATGGAAACTTGTTTCCTATTCGTAGTCTTCTAGCACCTATTTATAGGGCTTTGTATTCTCTTTTCTAAAAGACAGTTTGAGACAATATACAACAGCGCATTAGAATATTCTCTCTTTACTTTCGTAACAAGACTCAACCATATATTGACTTTGTTATAATTATGGTCCAGTGTCGATGTTCTTATTTTCAGCTTATTTGTGCCAACATAATGCTGTAAGTGCATTTTGCTGTGTTTGGATAGACTTATGAAAAGAGCTTATGGATTTCTAAAATGTTGTTTCGAGCTTCTTTCTGCAAGTTGTGTCAAAGTGCTCATCAGAAGCAGCTGAAAAACAGCTTAGAATCCAGTTGAAATGCCAACATTTTTGTTGTCTTTTGGTGCTTCTTTATAGGATAAATGGTCTTTTCATTGAATTTATGCAGGAATAGCACAAGCCTGGCCAGTCTTATTAGGAGGCCAAACTCAATGGACGGTGGGTCTTGTGGCATCCTTGATTTCTATTAGTAGTATCATTGCAGCAGACACATATGCTTTTTTCGGCGGGAAGGTAATTTTTTTAATTGAACTTCGTTCATTTTAAATCACTTAAGTTTCCCCTTTTAGTAGATAGGAAGACTAGATTGGATGTAGATAATGTGAACATAAATATTGTTACATAGTTGTCATTACTCGTGCCTTCTCTAGTTCTTTGTCTCTAGACCGAAAGAACAAAAAATCTTGGACATCTAATTTGAGACCGAAAGAACAAAAAATCTACATAGATGGTACAAGTTTTGGAATTAAAAGGGTATAATGAGATGTACTTAAAACTCGTTTTGCAGGTTTTTGGTAGGACACCGCTTACTGATATTAGTCCAAAGAAGACTTGGGAGGGAGCTCTGGCAGGTATTGGTGGTTGTATAGCCACTACTGTGGTATTGTCAAAGTTACTGAGCTGGCCTAGATCTATGCTAAGGTGTGCGGTAAATTTGTACAGTACTACTTTTTGCCTGAAATATTGGTTACATTATTTTTGTTTTTTCTTGAACCTTGGCGCTTTTACTTACTTTCTGCATGTTGAGCATATAGCCATTAATGTGCAATTCAACTATAAGCTTTGAGGTGGAGCACATGCTTCAATTTGGTATCAGAGCCATACCAAAGGTCCATGGGTTCGAATCTCAGCACCACCCATAAGTGACTACGGTCCACGTGTTGCTAGGGGCGTGTTGAGCATATAGCCAATTAATGTGCAATTCAACTATCTGTAAAAATTTTGTTTTTTTTTCTTGCGTTGGGCTTTTGCCTTTATTCAAGCATAATCTGTAGACAGCAACAGCAACTAAAAGAGTCTCTTAACTTTTGGATTAGAAAATTGAAATGATCTCTTTTTTTCGTTTCTGAAAGGAAATAAAAGATGCTTGCTTTGATGACCCTTTCCCTTATTTCCTCAAAAGCGAATAATTTTAACTAACTCGTACTCTTATGTGGGCATTTCAGTGCTGTAGCTTTTGGAGTTTTGATCTTCTTTGGATCACTTTTTGGTGACCTCACCGAGTCCATGATCAAACGCGATGCTGGTGTGAAAGACTCGGGATCTCTCATCCCTGGACATGGTATTGTAAACATTTGTTTGTTATGAACGTTAAATCTTTATCCCGATCATAGTGTGAGACAATTCTTGCAATGCAGGTGGGGTACTGGACAGAGTTGATAGCTACATATTCACAGGCGCCCTCGCCTATTCCTTTGTGAAAATGTTCCTGCCCCTCTATGGCGTTTAATGAAGCATCGAACCATACTCTTGGAAAGACACGCCCACCAATTTCTAGACACTGCATTCGGTGTATTAGCACCGAATTTCGAGGTTTCTTCTGCAAAAAACGCAAAAAGAATGATGTTTTTTGCCAAGAGGAAACAGCGGGATAGGTTTATGAACTGATGTTCAGAGGTGCGTTGAGGTTGTCTGTCTTTTCGCTTGCAATGCGACGATCTGTTGTGTACAGGTGAGAGAGATGCAGAATTCTTTAACTTATTTTCTTCGTTCGAAAATCTGTACAAAAAAAAAAAAAAAACACAAGTACTCAAGTGTTGAATGAGTGTTTGGTTTTTGTTGAAGATTGAGAAATGATAACACCTATCATCAACCTTGTACTTTGTTTGATAGGATATGATATGATATGAGATAAAACCGAATGCCCTGCAACAAATTATACTTACAAAAGCAACCACCAGACAGGACAGCTCTCTAAAAGAAAAACTTTTGCAAAATTTTTTCTGCTTTCACGTGAATTTGTCCCTTCAACTTGTACTAGTATAAGTATACCTTTTTTTTTTCTTTGTTCTTCGAGGTTAATCGCGGGATGAGCCTAGAATCGAACTCTGCCTCTACAATACTAAAAATGAACATTTAGTTGTGGTTTACATTACAGCGAGTGTTTGGTGAATAAATATTAGCTGATTGAGTTAGTGGGTTTGACTAGTTTATAACATTAGTTGATTGTAGAAAGATGTTTGGTAAATTAGCTGTTAGCTGATAGTTGATTACATGCGAAATGGCTTTCTCAAAAAGCTAATAAAAAAGTTGCTTAAAAAAGTTGCTTTGAATTGTTTTTTGAATTTTAGTGTTTTGGGGCAATAAACTGTTACAAAAAGCTAATTAATCAAATACATCTTGGTTGTTTAATCAAGTCAAACAATTATAGTGGTCAAACAAATCAAAATTGACTGATAAACTAACTATATTATCAAACAGAGCCACAATGTGAACCATTAGTTAACTTGTGTCACTATTTGAGGGTGTGCGGAAGACAATGATTTGAGGGTCTTGATTGAGAAGCTATTGGCAAGAAACAAACTCGTAACCTTTTAGTATGAGAATCATGCTCCACTCACTTGATCCCTGTTTCTGGGGTCGGTTGACCATGCAAGTTGGGCACCACCAAATAGTGGGGAAGAAGAAGATAGAAAATGAAGGACCATAAAAATGAGGAAAACAATCTTGAGCTAGAAGAGAGTGGAAACATTCTTCTTTTTTAGGGTCCCTACCACACTATCTTTTAACAAGAATGAGTGCTTACTTTAGGGTTTTGGTATATTGTAACAAAGCAAAATATTTATATATTAAAAAAAAAAAGGAAAAAAAAAAAAAGTGTGGGCAGTAAAGAATGCGTTGTTTTAAAGCTGACTAAGAACATAATGGATTAGAAAAGCAAGCTTGCTCTCAAAAAGTTAAGGAAAGACAACGAAAATAACAGCCAAGTAAAACCTTACCTTAGTGATTGATAAAGATGGAAAGATAGAGTGTGGTCAAGCCAAGCATCTCAAATAGTTTGAGAATTGTGGGAAGGTGGGTGCGGTGGTAATATTGGTCGATGGAACTTTTTACGTATAATACTTGATATTTTTAAACTAATTTAGATTCGGCTTGAACCGTCGTGTGTAAGTGTGTAATGTTTGATTCTACCTGTGAAGATTTTATAACTGTTATGAACGTTAAGTTTTTCCTGATGTAGTCATGTAGCTTAGGGCAAGATTAATGTTTTTTTTTTTTTTTTTTTTTTTCCTTTTGGCGCATGCAATCCACACTAGCTTAGTTAATCCTTACATTTAGATTAATTATAACGTAGCTTGTTTTAATCTATTACAATGTAGTATCTGTTCATAACTACTTTCTCAATCTACTGAAGTACAAAGAGTCAATAACACTTCCACTTAGGCTCAAACTCACAACCTCCGATATGGAAGTCCAACTCGAGTGCCATCTAAGCACAAGGTGCTTGGCTAATCACCGTTTTATTCTCAAGAAAATTAAAAACCAAATTAGTGGGTATAAAATTGAGGTGGTGGGTGTGTGGAAAGCCAAAAAGTTAAAAGCTTAGGTATGGTTATGAATGTATGATGCAACCCAAAGTTTAGTTGCACACGCACATCCATGCAATGCATATATATATATATATAAATGAAATCAATATTAGATATATCATTCCATATATTCACTACTAAACCTTCAATCCCACCTTCTAACCACTAACTTTTCTTCCCTTTCTGTCTTCTACTGTTACTTCTCTTTCCATTGCCTTGTAATTGGATGCCTCATTTTTGGCTTTAGCTTAAACTTCCATCTTTTCTTTATATATTTTACTCACTTATATAAGTCTTGTTTATTTCTCATTTTACTTGTTCCTTACTCAAACTTACCATCTAACATGTCACATGTGCCTTGTTATTCTATTTAATTGACCTTATTGTCTTAATATCAAGCTTACAATTTGAGTTTGAGGAAAAAAAAAACATTTTTATTGAGGTTACAAATTTTTTTGACCACTCATATGAGTTGGACGACAGAAATATAGTCCATTATCTTTGGTCAATGGTCATAAATTTTGACCCCTTCTAATCCTTTTAGAAAAAAATGAAAAATATCTTAAATTTATATCTACTTTAATGAGGTTAATTACGAGATTTTCTAATCGTCCATTAAAATTAGATGGAAATATTGACCCCTTTTGATCAACTGTCTTAAATCTCTGTCCTCTTTTATGATATCAAAAAATGTTGGTAAGAAATTAGCGATTTTCTGACGGTTACATGGGACCTAGGGGGAAGGGGGGAGAGGGTGGGGGGGGGGGTTAGTTTTATTTATTATGTATTTAATTTATGTTTATTTAAATATTAATGTATTTGGGTTCAAGTTTGATGGAAAGCTTTGATTTCTTAATTTATTTTCATCATCAATAGTTTCCTATACAAATATACAAATGTAGACCCTTTGAAGAATAACAAAAAGGCAGATATGTTCTTTACTCCATTAAGAATATAATTAGGCATATGATTGTGAAATCACATTGAAAATTCCTTCAAGCACGAATTGAATAGAAGTTGAAGAGTTTTTTACCATCACGTACATACATTTGCACCACACCACATATATTATATTATAGCTTATATAAACACGCAATGTTTCGAGTCACAGCTCAACTGGTCAACCAATCCAAAATAAGTTTATAAGATTTGCTTTGTTAGCAGTCAATGAGGTGTAGGGTTCGTGGTTATAAATTTGACCTTGTTGTAAACGCTAATGTATAAGTATTTGAATGGCGTATGCATGCATATAAATCAACTGAGACACATTTGTGATTTACCTCTTTTGTCTTTAGGGTAGAAGCTGTGTGAGGACCCCTTAAAGTTTGGGTTCAAACTTATATATACACAACAATAACAACAATTTTTAAAAATTGAAAATTACAAAAAAAAAAAAAAAGTTTTATTCATCTTCTCTTAATACCTAAGAATGGAATTGAAGAATATATCCAGTAGCCTCCTGTCATGATCTTATCTCCAATATGTACACCCCATAAATACATGAATCTTATTATCATTATTTTTTTCAAATAGTATTTGATATTTTCACTATTATAAAATTAATTCGGATTCAGTTCAAGACACACGTTTCAAGGGTCAAACCTAGCTAGCTCGTCCACTTACCAATTGTGGCGGTTTTTGATATATTAGCAAATGAAAATTATGGGTTTCTTGTAATTAATAAATCACATTTTCAGCTTAAAAAAGTCTTATGATTATGAATAAAGGTCCCACTTTGTTTCTTTTTTGGGCTGGTGAGATGATTTGAGACCAAAGATTGAAACATGAAGAAAAAGGACAATATAATGGGTATTTTTGTTAGCATTTAAATGGTGTTGACCCACCTATATGGCCTTTCCAAACATAATATAATCTTTGACAAAGCCAAAAGCTTGTCCAAAAAAAAAATTAAATATCTTGTATAGTTGAATAACCCTAGGTAACATACTATCATTACTCACACACTTTATTGTAAAATCAAAATAAGGTAATACACCCTCGCATAGCGGTTGTAGATTTCCCTCATCATCCTATGTTGGTTTACCTCATTGTAGTCCTTTACCAGTTAGTGTCAGAAGGCGGGATTTCCTTAGTACATACCATCAAGTAGTGGTTGTGGTTTCTCTCATCATCCTATATTGGTTTACCTTATTGTGATCCTTTGCCCGTTAGGGACACAAGGCAGGATTTTCGTAGTACACACCATCAGGTAGTACAGTGATTGTGATTTTCTTCGTCACCCAAAATAAAGTAATGCACATTAACAAGGTTTATCTCGTGCACACTTTTGGACAGTGGTTGTGAGTTTTCCTCGACATCCAAAATAAGATAATTCTATATATATATATATATATATATATATATATATATATATATATATATATATATATATATATATATATATATATATATATATATATTCAAATCTTTCTATGTGCATGGAAATGATTAAACAAAAAAACCCAAAATCCAAATCACTCACTCCAAGAAGAGGCTTGAAGATGACAAAAGTTTCCCCACTTGGATTCCTTAATTAAAAGATATATATTCATTTTTTTTCCTTTTCTTTTTTTTCTTGAGAGCCATAGCTTGCAAAAGTGTATAACACTTTCTATATGCTCCTATATCTAGAAGATGCTTAGATATGATATTGCTCATCATCAAACTTCTACCCCAAACATCAAGAATCTGCTTTCAGACATTGAAGTGACACAAGGCCTCAGTGCAAACTCATACAAAAAAAGGGAAATTAAAGCCTCTTTCCCACCCAACCCCCTTTTATTCATTCCCCTTTCTCCTATTACATTGTGTTATGGCTCTTTCACATAGTGAAATACTAATCATTATCTATTTGAATTTTTTTTTTCTGAAAGTTTCAAATAATTGCAAGGTTGGAGGTTGAATTGGATAAAAAAAATAGTGCATGTTAAAGAGTTCTCGCTAGGCATTATCCCGAATGAGAGTCCAATTATGTGGGAGTAAGTTTGGACTGAATTCATGTTAATTAGTGTCGCAATAGTGAGGATAATAGATGCAGTATGCAACAAAAAAGTTCAGAAATATATACTCTATGTTAATGTTAATATGATATAATAATCTAATTCATATATAAATTCTATTTTTACATTCAATTATATTAATGTTAATATAATTCGATTATATTCGGTATTTGATCTTTATATTAACATGTCTTTTAAACACTATTTGTCTAGATAAGTTTTGGTGACCTATATATATATATATATATATATATATATATATATATATATATATATATATATATATATATATATATATATATGCATCCATGGTGCATGTGTGCATATAATAACAAAATCTATATATTTTTATTTTT